AAAATAATACAGTTCAGAAACTTTGAACCACATAAAAAAAGGAAGATCACTGAAGAAGAAATAAGTGAGGGTAAAATAAAAAACTTATTTTTCTTATTTTTAATTGACCTAGCAGATAACAGTGTGTTCAAAATAATTATAGCAACACTGTACTTGATTATGTATGCTTATATATGTGTGTGTGTGTGTGTGTATACACACACACATGCACAAACACGCATACATATATATATCTTAGGTATGCTTATACATAAGGGAAATGAATGACAGTACTGATACAGGAGGCAAAAGGGAGGAATTATGATTACTTTGTTTTTATAAAGCAGCCACACTATCCATGGAGTGGTTTAGAGTTATTTAAAATGGGCTTCAATTAGTTGTAAGTATACATAGCAAATTCTAGGGCAACCACTAAAAAAATGTTTTAAGAAAAAAAGTATAAGTGGTATACTAAGAACAGAGAGAAAATCAGTAAAGGTACAGGTGAGCTCAACAACGCCATCAATCAGCTGGAATTACACCTGTAGATGACTTCATCAAAAAATAGGAGAATACACATTCTTCTCAAGCCCACCTGGAATATTTTTACCACAACAGGTCACATTCTCGGCCATAAAACACTCTTTAAAAAGTGTAAAAGTATAGAAATCATAAAATGTCTGCTCTTAGATCACGTGGAATTAAACTACAAATCAATATGAGGAAGATAACTGGAAAATTCAAAAGTATATGGAGATTAAACAACACCCCTCTAAATAACACATCTGTCAAAGAAGAGATCTAAAAAGAAATTTAAAAGTATTTTGAACTAAATGAAAGTAAAAACACAACTTAACGAAATAGGTTGAATGCAGAAAAGGCAGTAAAGGAAAATTTATAGCATTGAATATGTATATGAGTACTGGAAAAGAAGAAAGATCTAAAATCAGTCATCTATGCAAAAGAAAACAAGAAAAAGAAAAAGAAATTAAATCTAAAGTAAGCAGAATAAAGAAACAATAAAAATTAGAACAGAAATCAATAAAATTGAAAACAGAAAATCAATAGAGAAATCCATGACACCAAAAGCTGGTTCTATGAAAAAAATCAGTAGAATTGATAAGCCTCTAGCCAGACTAACTGAGAAAAAAGAGAAGGAACACAAATTACTAATGTCAGAATTGAAAGAGAGGGTATCACTACAGATTCCATGGATATTAAAAGGATAATAAAGAAATAAAATGAACAATTCTATGCCCACAAATTTAATAAGTTAGATGAAGTGGATCAATTCTTTGAAAGACATAATCTGACAAAACTCACACAAGATGAAACAGAAAATCCAAATAGGCCTTTATCTGTTAAAGAAATCAAATCAGTAATTAATAACGTTGCAGAACAGAAAGCACCAGGCCCAGATGATTTTCCAAGTGAATTCCACCAAACATTTAAGAAAAAAATATGCCAATTGCCCAGTCTTTTTCAGAATGTAAAAGAGGAGGGAATACTTCTTAACTCAGTTTATGAGGCCAGCATCACCCTAATACCAAGACAAGCTGAAGATACTACCAGAAAAGAAAACTAAGGACCAGTATCTCTCTTGAACAAACATACAAAAATCATCCACGAAATATTAGCAAATTGAATCCAACCTTGCATAAAAAGGATTATATACCATGACCAATATCAGAATGTATTCCAGTGTATAAGGCTGGCTCAACGTTTAAAAATCAATTAATGTAATCTATCACATCAACAGGCTAAAAAAGAAATAACATGATCATAACAACAGATGCAGAAAAAGCCTTTGACAAAATCCAATGCCCATTTATTATAAAAACGCTCAGTTAACTAGAAATAGAGAAGCTTCCTCAAATAGTTAAACGATGTCAATAAAATCCCTAAAGCTAACTTTATACTTAATGCTGTGAAACTTGAAACTTTCCCACTAAGATCAGAGACAAGGAAAGGATGTCCCTTTCTCCACTTCTTTTCAACATCATACTAGAAGTCCTAGCTAATGCAACAGGATAAGAAAATGAATATAAGTTGTACTGATTGGGAAATAAGAAGTAAAACTATATTTGTTCACAGATGACATGATAGTCTATGTAGAAAATCCAAAAGAATCAACAACAACAACAAAAATTCCTGGACCTAATAAGTGATTATAGCAAGGTTACAAGATACAAGGTTAATATGCAAAAGTTGATCACTTTTCTATATACCAGCAATGAACAAGTGGAATTTGAATTTAAAAAGTAGTATCATTTGCATTAGCACCACCAAAAGTGAAATACTTAGGAATAAACCTAAGAAAATAGGTACAAGATCTGTTAGGAAAACTACAAAACTCTGGTGAAAGAAATCAAAGAATAAATAAATAGGGAGATAGTCTGTGTTCATGGATAGGAAAACTCAATATTGTCAAGATGTCAGTTCTTTCCAACTATAGATTCAATTCAGTCTCAATGAAAATACCACCAAGTAATTTTGCAGTTATTGAAAAATTGATTCTAGAGTTTATATAGAAAGGCAACAGAACCAGAATAGTCAATACAATACTGAAGGAGAAGAACAAAGTTAAAGACTAACTCAACCCAAATTCAAGTCCTATTAAAAATCTACAGTAATCAATACAGTACCATATTGGGGAAAGAACAGGCAAATGGACCGATGAAACAATAGAAAGCCCAGACATAGACCCACAAAAATGTAGTCAACTGATACTTGACAAAGAAGCAAAAGTAATGCAATACAGCAAAGACAGTCTTTTTAAGAAATGGGGCTGTAACAACTAGACATCCACATGCAAAAAAAAAAGAAATCTAGGCACAGACCTTACATCATTCAAAAAAAAAATCTCAAAATGGATAATAGACCTAAATTTAAAACACAAAACTATATAACTTCTAGAAGATAATACAGTAGAAAACTTAGATGACTTGGATACAGCAATGACATTTTAGATACAACCCCAAAGGCATGATATACAGAGAAAAAAAAAATAAGAATTGATAAGGTGGACTTCATTAAAATTAAAAGTTGCCTAAAAAAGACACTGTCAAGAGAATAAAAAGATAAGCTGCAGACTGGGAGAAAATATTTGCAAAAGACATATGTGATACAGAATTGTTATCCAAAATATACAAAGAACTCTTAAAACTCAACAACAAGAAAAAGAACAACCCAATTTAAAAATGGGCAAAAGACCTCAATAGGCACCTAATCAAAGATGGTATACAGCTGGCAAATAAGCATATGAAAAAATGCTCCACATGATATGTCATCAAGGAAATGTAAATTCAAACAACAACGAGATACCACTACATACCTATTGTAATGGCCAAAATACAGAACACGATGCCACCAACTACTGGCAAAGATGTGGAGCAACAGGAACTCTCATTTGTTGCTGGTGGGAATGCAAAATTGTCCAACCACTTTGAAAGACAGCTTGGTGGTTTCTTTTAAAACCAAACATCTATTACCATATAATCTAGCAATCATGCTCTTGGTATTTATACAAAGAAGTTGAAAACTTATGTCCACACAAAACCTTCCATATGGTTGTTTATAGCCGCTTTATTCATAATTGCCAAAACTTGGAAGCAACCAAGATATTCTTCAGTGAGTGAATGGATAAATAAACTGTGGTACATTCAGACAATGGGATATTATTTGGCACGAAAGAGAAATGAGCTATCAAGCCATAAAAGACATGAAGGAAACTTAAATGCATATTACTACATGAAGAAAGCCAATCTGAAAAGTCTGCATACTATATGATTCCAACTACATGACATTCTGGAAAAGGCAAAACTGTAGAGACAGTAACAAGATCTGTAGTTGCCAGGAATGTGGGGAGAGAGGGAAAAACAAGTGAAGCACAGAGGAATTTTAGGGCAGTAAAACTGTTCTGTTTGATACTATCATGGTACATGTCATTATATACATTTGTCTTGTCCAAACCCATGGACTACACAACACCAAGAGTGAAGCCTAATATGACTCTGTTCCACTCTGGTGGGGATGTTGATAATGGGGGAGGCTGTGCATGTGTGGGGACAGTGGACGTATGAGAAATCTCTGTACCTTCTTCTCAAAAGTTTTAGGTTCTTTTGCTGTGAACCTAAAACTGCCGTAAAAAATAAAGTTAAAAATAACACGGGGTACAAACGTAATTTGTGGTAATGGGCATGCTGCCAGTATGGATCTGGCCTTCACATCTTGAGCACGAGGTACGACAATCAGGTTTGTATCTCATGAATATTCATAACCAATAAAAAAAGAAAATACCAAAAATAGATAAATAAAAATAACCAGAAATACAGAAGAACATTAAGAACATTAATTAAATTGAGGAACTCTCAGCTCAATTGTTCCTAGCTTCTGTCATACAATTGTGGTCATTCTTAACACAAGCATCACTGTCACCAGTTGCTGGGAGTAGGGAGTATCTGGAAAGTCCGGAGTTTGGCCCATTCATTTCCTTTCTTTAAGGAACCTCCTTTCTTTGAGGCAACCTTAGTACCTTGCTTAGGAAGAATGCTAGCATGTCTAGGACACCTGAAAGGTGTTGCTAAGAGTTGTCTACATGTGTTATCCAAATTAATTTTCACAAGCCTACCTTTAGATATCTAGTTCACACTGGACAGGTGGGGTGACTTAATTTCAGAGATGCTAAATAGCTTCCTTGATATTGTGTAACTAGTGAGTGGAAAGGCCGGGGTTAAAACAAAATGGAGCAAATGAAATTTTAGAAATATTGATCCCAGGAGCAAGAGCATGCAGATTTGTATAGTTTCTCAAAATACTCTTTCTTCCTTAGGATTATTTTAACTTTCCCTATTAAAGTAATGAATTTGGTGTGGGAAGGTATGTTTTAATACCACAGTTCATAGCTTCATTAAGTATCTCCCATTGCCTGCAGCCCCAGTGTCCCCAACATCAACAAAGAAGCTGGAGAATAGGAGCATTCAGGATAGATCTAATTTGACACTGATAAGTAAGCACCAGACCTTCGTACTATTGCCGAACCACCAGAAATAGGTAAGGGTCCCCATCTGACTGGGCCACACGACTGCACTGATGTTGACCTCCTTATTTCTTATGGTGACAAATGGAACTCGGAGATGAACATGCTCCACGGGACCTAAGGGAACAGGAAAACCGATATCAGTGTTTACATTCCTGGAATAAGTGGTCAAACTTTATTACACCTCCAGATTCTTAACCTTAATTCCTATCACCATCCCCTGTAATAAAGCAAAGATCACAAACTCATAAACGTTGGGAGGTGTGTGTATCCTAGAAGTTTACATTCCTGGAATAAGTGGTCAAACTTTATTACACCTCCAGATTCTTAACCTTAATTCCTATCACCGTCCCCTGTAATAAAGCAAAGATCACAAACTCATAAACGTTGGGAGGTGTGTGTATCCTAGAAATGAAGCATCCGCTATCACAGGGAACTCAAATTAGGTTTCAGAGTTTTTGAGTGACATCTGAACTTAATCTGCATCTGATAAGCCCAACCATGAATGCTTATGAACCTCCAATCCAAGGACAAAGCTAGTTTACTAGACATTTAGCCAATAAATAGGAAGATAAACAGCAGTGTATTTCCTTTCTGATGATTAGCCTGTATTGTGATGTGGGGTCAGTGCATTGTTTGGATGGCTCCTGCACTATCCTCAATTGTTAATTGGTTTCCATCCTCTTCAACAATTGGCCATTGTGCCTCCTCATCTGTAGTGCGCAGTGGGTGTCATTCAGGAGCTGGCAAGGCCACTTTACAAAGAGGGAAAAGCACATCTCTCTAAATCAAAGGAGAAACAAATGCCAGGTTTCCAAATAACAAAAAAGCTGCTTGCAAAAAAGTGACTAAACTTCTCTTTTTTTCCCCCAGAAAACTGGTACAAGCAGCATCACATTCTAAACTAGCAAGTAAAAGAGACAGAAACATGAACACACCCACAGCATGATAAGTGAGAATTTTAACTGAATTCATTTCCAAAGAAAATGAGAAGAGGAAACTGCTGATGAAAAAGTGTTAATGTGTCAGTGTTGCATTTGGGTGGGGGGGTAGAATTTTTTGTTAAAGTCTTTGGGATTTTTCTCCCTCACCCCCACCCCTTCCTTTTCCCTTCCTCCCTCCCTCTTTTCTCCCTTCCATTCCTTTTTCTCTTTCTTCCTTTTCTTCCTCCCTCATTCTTTCCCTTCCTTAAATTCTTCCTACTTAACCAAATCCAATGAAAATATTTTAATTATATGTCCACCCCATGTTGGAGCATATTTTCCCAGTTTCCACTGTTATCAATTTGATGAGTACAGGTGACTAAAGAGAATTCCATATGAAGGTCTTAAGCCACAGCTGTAGCAAGGACATCTCTTTAGTCTGGAGACCTTGAGATGTCCTCATAGGTAGGACATTTTTCAGGCCATCTAGACTTCACTATTTGCATCCTTGGTAATTTTGGAGACAACTCAGTTTAAAGGGAAGAAAACAGATGGATACTTCTTATTTCACCTCTGGCACAAATTTAGCTCTATGATGTTTTCTTCTATCATGCAGAGCCTCAGTCCTATGCAGAATATTACCCTGTCCTAAAAATTACTTACTGCCTTAGTAATAAGAACATGTGAAAGTGCTGTGTGGTTGTTCAAAGTACCATATAATTTATTACAGGTTGGCACTATTTCTACCACTGCCCCCCCCCGTCACTATTTTTGTCTATAATGTCCCTCTGAGGACAATGGGTATTCTCCTGAATCTCAATGGGCATATTCTGTATGATAGGTAATTTTATAATGGGGGAAAAAGTGTTTGGACTGGGACTACTATTTGGGCGGGGAGACCAGCCAGGCCAGATTGTACTTTCCTGAACAATCAAAAAGTGTACAGGAATCTATGTATCTATAGCCTGAAAATGCTCTGCCTATAGCTCTCTGCCTTCAGCCCAGACATATGCACTTCAAGATTTCTTCCAGCAAATAATTTCAACCCTGTCTCTTGAGATACACATCTGGCTGGAAATTTACTTATTTCAAATAATTTACTTAATTCAAATTACTTAAAAATAAGTAACTTTTAGGACACAGTATTATTATTTTTGTATGGTTGGATTCTGATGAAAGTAAAAAAAAAATAGTGTGAGAAAACAATGGCTACTTCATTGCTTTATTTCTCATGTTTAGGAGATAGGTCTTTTTTTTTTTTCCTTTTTTGTCTTTTTTTGTGACCGGCAACGGATCGCAACCCTCAGTGTCACGCCCATACCGGACCGGGACCAGCAACAGGATCACAACCCTCGGTGTTGCTCCCGTGAGCGGCCGGTCTGTATGTGGGATCCGAACCCTTGGCGGGAGCGCCGCCATGCTCCCAAGCGGCGCATTGTAGCAGTGCGCCACCGGGCCAGCCCCTAGGAGATAGGTCTTTTTACTGTTTGTGTCTTACTCATCTTTGGGGAAGAGAAAGAGGCTGTGGGACGGGATCCTGGGAGGGAGATGAGACCCCTTGTTTCTCACATGAACACCGCAGACTCTTTCTCTGTCTCCATATTCAGATCTCTTATTCTTCCCCTGCTGGGAAAGCAGGCCTCTTTACCCTCAGAGTCATTACTTCTGTTCTTGCCGCCGTCCCCCAAACGGCATGAAGCCCATTCCCCAAGCCACCCCACAGTTAAGCGGTGATGCAGCTACACTTTGTGGCCCTGGAAATTCTTCTCAGCTTCCTGTCACTCGGAAACCTTGGCTCAGCCAGGGCTGACACTGTCAGGTACTGTGATGCCCGGGAAGGTAAAAGGACATCTCCTTCTCCATAAACTCATGCCGAACACAAAAGGGACGGGGCTTCCACAAATTAAAACATCATCAAACGTGGTCACATTTATTCCAGCTTCAGGCTGAGCATGTTTGGTTTAAAATCGTCTTAGAAAAGAACCCCATGCAGTAGCTTTTTAGGGCAAAGATCCTGAGCCTTCAATGTGGAAACAAACCATGGCTCAGTGAGAAGAGAAGAGAGCTGAAGGGATTCAGGAGAAAACATACAAACTCCTGAAGTCCTCACTGTCAAATAGTGCCCCTTTTGATAAAAATCTAATAATCTGTGCGAGATTGGTTATTATGGGCAGCTAACAACGACTTTTGTTAGCTAATGGCCCAAGGTAAGGCCAAGAGCAGTTTCCACTATAATAACTGTCTGGTAAATGCAGCTATGATTGATTTGGAGGGAATTATGAGCACGATAAAAGTTTCAAGGAACATTTCCTCCTTCATGCACATAACCCACAGCATAAACCTGTTCCTTGCTGTTGTGATTTTGCCACTAAGATACATTAGTCTTTGTGCCCTGCAGGCAAAGCCCACTCTTGGCAGAATCGGGAACGTGGGTATGATAGGTCCTTGGGATATAAGAATATAAGGTTCTTTTTTTCTTTTCTTTGTCTTCATTTATAAACGCAGCACTTTGCTGCAAAACTGTCAGGCAGAAAGTTAATAGAAAGTACTCAGTAATTACTATAATAACAGGTAACATTCATCATGTGCCAAGCTGGGTGCTAAGCAGCATTCTGCACATTGCAGAAAAATGTTAACATAGATCTGAAATTGTTATCCTTAGCCAGGTCTGCATGCAAGGTTGGCCGTTGGCTGGTGTCTGGGAACTTAGCTCTGGGAGTGTTCCTAGTCAACAGTTCACTGATAAGAGTAGTTCACTCTGCCTAAACTGTTTTTGTAAACAATAAGGTTTATTCCAAACACTCACTTTCTGCTGGGCATTTGGAGTTTTGGTATGTACCAGGCAGAGTGTGCCTACATGATCAGCCCCCAGTAAGAACTAAGGTCACTGAGACTCTAATGAGTTCTCTGGTAGACAGCCCTTTGCACTTGTTACAACTCATTGCTGGAGGAATTAACATGTCCTGTGTGACTCCACGGGCAGAGAACTCTTGAAAGCTTGTGCCTGGTTTCCCCCAGACTTTGCCCCTGAGACTCTTCCCTCTGCAACTCCACTTTGTATCCTTTCACTGTAATAAATCATAGTCATGAGTGGAACTGTGTGCTGAGTCCTGTGAGCCCTCCTCATGAATGACCAAACTTGGAGGTGGTCTTGGGGGACCTCTGATGCACATACACATTATCTAATTTGATCCTCACAGCCTCCCTATAAGCTAAGTAATAAAGATGAGAAATCATGTTTATACAGGCTAAGAAAGTTGATCAATATTATATATTCAATAATAAGATATTATCAGAATTCAAACACAGTTCTCCCTTGCTTTAAAGCCTGGGCTCAGCAATGCCTTGAGCGTTACCCACTTGGGTTTCTGACCAGGTGCTTCTGGCACACCATGATCATAGTTGGTGTGGTATGGTGTGGTTATCACCATTTTGCCTATTTTGGGCCCATTTTCAGCAGCACCTCCGCTTCCCCACCAGAATGTGAACTTGGCAAGAGCAGGACCATATCTTCATTGCAACCTCCCCAGTATCTAGCAGAGTGCTTTGCACATGTTAAGAACTCAACAAACATTTGTTGAATAAATTAATGAATAATTGCATGTTTTATTTGTGTTTCCTATTTACTGTTGCAAGAGCCCTGTGAGGACAGGTAGCAGTCAGAATTACATCATTTAAAGCCAGAGTTTAGAAGACCTAAGGAAGAAATCATTCATCTCATGGTCATGTAGACTGGCATTTTTAGAGACATAACTGATCTATACCCAGGCCTCCTCCCCTATCACTGTTGATATGTAGCGTATCACCTGAACACCACTGTGGGGTATATATGTAAAAATTATAGAAGTCCCTAGACCCATGAGTATCACTGACAGAGGTGTGGAAAACTAATTCCAGCCCCAAAACAATATTTCCTTGATCCAACATTCTAAAACCCGGAATATTTAAGTTTCAGTTTATGAGAGTCAAGTCCCAGGACACCTAATACACAAAATGCATCCAGCACAAATGAAATATTTGGAACTTCAGCTGTTGTTTTGGTTTGTGCCAAGCAACAGCCAATAGCAATGAAATAGATTCTAGGACAACAACAACAAAAAAATCTGGCACATTCTTGGAATTGTTTACAACAAAATGAACTTTCAGTAACCTTGGATGTCAGAATTAACTTTTGTGTGTATTCAATTCTACATTTAAAAAAACCTAAACGTGTTTCTCTAATCCTTCTTTAGCCCTTCTAATAGTTTATTTGATTTGTGCCATCTCCACTCATAATAGCCTGAAAATGAACCTGAGACCGTCAACCAGAGGGGTTTCCAATCCTTATATTTTCAGGATTCTCCAAAGCAAAGGGAAGGCACTTTGGCCTGAATGTGTGTCTGTGTGTGCACTTACATTAGAGCAGAGAGGCACCAAAAAGGAGGGGCCAGTTAGTAATACATCATCCAAACTTTCAAAATAATTAATCTACTTCACTATTATGAAACTCTGGAACACAGATGAACTCGTACACATCTCAGTCTTTGGATCTGGGCACCATAGTAGTCATTCTGAACCCAGCCTCAGCATAAATTTCAGAAAGTCTGGACAAAGGGAGCTGCCCACTGAAAGAGGGGGAAAAAGGGGCTGGCTCATGCCACTTACAAACCACATGCAGGAAGAGGAACGCCGTATCTGAGCCAAGGTTGTTCTCTGCATAGGCTGTCACCTGGAAGATCCCTGCACTCTTATACACGTGCTTGATGCCGTCCTCGATGGGGCTGAAATTAGCGTAGGACACAGCAATTCCATCCCCAAAGTCAAGCTGGATGTTTGTCCTTTGGAGATCTCCCTGCAAGAGGGAATAGCAGTTGGCCTGAGTCCATTCACGTGGTTGAGTCTGACTCTTATCTGATGCTTTCTCTTGTGGCTTCAGAATCACCCTCTGAGGACCTACAGTCTTTCCCAGGGGGCTGGAACACACTCAACACAATCAGACTCCCATCTGATATCCACTGGGCACCACAGGCAGGCACTGTGGACCTATCGTCCCTGTGTGCCCAAGCTCAGGGCAGCCTGCATTGGAGTGACACTGGCAATAGTGGGTAAGGTGGAGCCTCTGTGAAGCTCTGAAGCAGGGAAGCCAAGGACTTCCTTGACTCCTTGACTCCCTCACACATGTTTTAATTCTTCTACTGTATCATAGTAGAAACAGCAAACAGTTACAGAGTTTCTTATCAGTGCCAAGAAATCAATCTCCTCACAGCTCATACTGTAGAAAGTATCACCGCCTCCATTTGTAAAAATAAATTAAGTATTTAGACCAAAGTGTCATAGCCAGTAGTGGCAGACTCAAGTTTTGGAGCCAAACTGTCTGATTTCACTTCTGATGCTCTCAACTACTAGGCGATAATTAAATATTTTTTTCTATTTTTGATCATTTATTATAATGTTCCAAGAACTATGCTAACCACTTAATAAATATTATATAATGCCATCTTCAAAATAACAATATGAGGTGGGATAGGCATTCCTATTTTACAGGTGAATATTGTATATCATCCAAAATTATATCTCTGTTCTCTTGTTTTGGGGCTTCCCTAAACCTACCTAAGCCCTGAAGTCGCTTCTGGCCACCTCAGCTCACAGATATCTCTGCCTCTTGGAAGGTCAAGAGCCCCCTTGGTTCTGCCTGCTGATGTGACCCAGTGGTCCAGGTGGGTGCATCTTACCACACTAGCCAATCCTTAGCTTCTTAAAGGTTGATGCTGAACTTCATCCTTCTCACCCTCCTCTCACCACTCCCCACTATATTGGGCCAACACCTTGGATAAATACAATGAACTTGACCCCAAAACAAAGACCTCATGTGAAAGAGATGAGGAATATAGTATATGAGTAATATAGATGATGTAATAAAGAGAGAAATACATCATTTTGGAATTATGAGCCAATCCTTCCGCCCAGTGAATGTGCATTGATCACAGTTTCACTTTCCATCTCTTCCCCCATGGCAACCCAGATGTGAATGAAATATTGATCAGTGCTCTCTTGCCCCCACACAATGTCAACTACCTCCGAGTTTATGAATATAAATTAAAGTGGAAATGAACTGGAGGCAATTCAAATGGATAAGATCGCAGCTTTTCACATCCATTCAAGAGAAGGTTTTTAGAGCTCTCATCCTGGAAACTCCCTAGTGGAAATGTGATAATGACCTCCTCTCAATCTTAAAGTCCTCTAATTTAAGTATCTGGTATAGGTAACAGCTGAGGAATCTGTCAACCCAGAGTAAGGAATCTTCACCATCCTGTCCAGTGTGGTACTGACGTGAAAGGTTTCTGAAGTGCTGCTACTTGTGAATAAAAACTCCTGGCCTGCTTTGCTCTCCCTCCAAGATCTCCAGAGCACAGAGCAATTTGCATATAAATTTAGAGGGCTTTGTCAATCAGGCAAGCCTTCTTGCTCCACCACTTCAGCAAGAAGTGCCTGAAACATCCCTGGTTTGGGAAGAAATGAAAAAGCTTGCACAGGGAGCAAGAAGCAGACGATGGAGCTACTTCCATCCTGGAATGAAGGTATGCAGTCTGATTTTACTGCCCAGATAACAGAAGATACTAAAAAGTGAACTCATGGAGCAGCTAGCTGATGGAAAAACAGCTAATATAACATTCTTTATCAAGATAAGCTTAGAAGGAGCTCAATAATCTTTCTCCAACCTCACACTCATACTTTCAAGACCTTTTAAAAGCTTTGTGTGCTTTTCTAATTAGTGGGGTTAAGGGTTAGAATAACGCAAAAGAAGCTCTTAAATGAAACAAATAAAATTGGAATTTCCTTCTTCTAGCAAAGTTTACAGTTTATGATCTCATGCTGCTAAACATTCCTTCAGCAAAGCAGACCCTAAAGGGAAACCCTGAAGAATAAATATATCCAGATCAGCATGCCCCAGATGCCAGGAGGCCCCCACTGTGGACTGGGTCTTCACTGCAGGATGAAGAGAGGAGGGTTTCTAAGCACCCCAAACCTCTTCCACGCTGTCTGCCTTCTCCCCAGAAGTCTCAGCTTCTCACCATTGACTTTGGTGCAGGGGCCTGTGGGAACACAAGATCTCTCTTTTCTTCCCTCTCTGGGAAGAAAGAATGGCTTGCGTGTGAATTCTGACCTCTGAGGCCTCAGTGGGCACCCACCTCCTCCATGAGGATGATGAAGGTTGCATTGTGTCCCTGCTCTGCCACCAGGCGCCCATCGGTTGTCACCACGTGGAGGCCCCGAGGGGCTTTTCCGGGGCACATCTGGGCCTTGGCAGTGTACTTCTCCCTCAGCCCATCTGTGCAGTTGTTGGACACAATCCGCCGGTACCTGGGGAGAATTGATAAATGACAGTGGTGTGGTTTGTGTCCAGAGCGTGTGTGTGCGCATGCATGCACGTGCATTCATTAGAGTGTGTAAGACAGCAATAGCAGAACAGATACTTTCCACAGCTGCCCCTAAATCCAAGTCTCAAAGAAGACAGCTATATAGGAAGCTAAACAAATGCTGAGGAGCTGCTATCCCTCCATCTCAGGAAGAGCAGCTCCTTAAACATTATTATCGATCCTACCTGGTGAGCCACGGATCGGATCAGTGTCTAAACCAGCCAAGAAAAAATCAATGCCCAATCACAAGCAACCGAGGAGGAGGCAGAATATTGGACTAGGGAGGCAGGAGAAGCAGGCACTTATCTCTATGAGGCAGGGGCCTGATTCTACTTCCAGAAAGCCACTTCCAACTTCCCCTGTGCCAGAAAGCAGCTAGAACGTCAGACTTCTAACTGATTAATCAGGAGGCCTCTTCCTGACTTCTCTCCATCCCTAAGACATAATTTCTTTCCCTAATATCTTATAGCCCTTACTCTAGAGCCATGGGTCTATTTTATAGCACATTTCTCTCCTTGCTAATATTTCATTTCCCACTCAACTTCAATGCCAGATGAGAAGCACAAGTTTGAAACTTCTATCAATCCCATTGAGATAAAAACATCTTACAGAAGAGGTTAGCATGGGGAAACCTCCTGACAAAGCACTGTGACCTTCTGTGACAACAGTATCATTGTGTACAGCAGTGTCATGTTACCTCCCTTGACATGTAAGTCAAGCCAGGAGCTTGCCTACAACTCTCACCTGTATGACAGACATTATTTCCAGGCACATCACCATCTGCAAGCCTCTGCTGAACTCAATGTTCTGATCAAACCACATAAAATAAATGTACCACCACCACCATTACCATTGCAATCATCATCATCACTATGACATCTTGTCTTCTTTTACCCTCTATGTCAGGAATAATTAACCAATCCATCCATATTGCCTCTTCTGGTGGCCTCAAAAGCAGAGAAATCCAAATTCTTGTTGGGTGATATTGGTCCTCCACGATACCTGGGTCCTCCCACTGCTGAACAACCTGCCCTACACCTCCATCCAGAGATCATCGAGGGATGTTAAGCAAGTGTTGTATGTAGTTTTTGCCTCAGATGACATTACCCTATATTTTCTTGTAGGTACACATCATTTATAATTGCCAGTTGAGCTCGTAGTGGGTCTAGAGCTGTGCTGTCCGATATGGTAGCCACTTTCCACATGTGGCTGTTGAGCACCTGAAATGTGGTTAGTGTGGCATGTTGAAATGATAATATTTTGGATATACTGGGTTAAATAAAATATGTTACTAAAATTAATTCATCTTTTAAAAACGTTTTTAGTGTGGCTACTAGAAAATTTACAATTACACATGTGGCTCATATTATAATACTTTTGATCATCACTGCTCCAGATAATAAAACTTTTTAAATCAATTTATACTTTCTGACCTTGAGCCACAAGATATTTTGTTTTTCACTTATGATAGATACTTCAGTGGGTACCACGCCCTAATGCAAACTCGATACCATCTACTCTTCCTCTTCAACCTCAATTGGCCAACTCAAGCTGGTTGATGATGTGTGACACAAGCATATTTCAAAAAGTTCATAGAGAAATGTAATAGAAAGGTAATATGAATCTTTCCAAGGACTTTTTGAAGTTCCCTCGTATAAGCCAATATTCAAGCAACCTGGAGGTATTTGTACACATCTTTAGTGAATCCTTTGAGAAAAACATGAATAGCCTTTCCCCTTCATCTTCCTGATTCATTTAGTTGGCTATTTTGTCACTTTGATACTAATAAGTTGCTTAAAATTGGGTTCACCTACACATGCCTCGTGAGCATATGAGATGTCCTAATGCAATTCTTTTTCAATTACATCCAGGGTATACTCTGGCTGGGAATTTGGTGGCCCAGCTGATCACTTGTGCCCGTCATTTTCCCCTTCCTCAAATTTCCTAGAACTTTGCTCTCTAACACCACATCTCTTTAAGTACCTGCTGTTGGATCTGCAGTTCACATGGCTTAAGCCCCTAAACCAGACTTCTACAATAGAATAACATCAAAGTTCCTTAAGCCCCAGCCCAGGCTCCAGGAATAGTCCTTCCAGAACCAAATTTATGGCTAAAAACTTCATGTTTTTCAAAATAGCTCAGACCATTCAACACACTTCTTTCATCATGTTTGTTTTACCTCCATAGACATCAGTTGGGTAGATAGTACCTATCACTATGTCATAAACAGTTGTAAAAGTACCAAGAAGGTGAGTATCTTGGCTGAGATGGCAGAAGATCTGCTGGAAGAGTCGAGACTGGATTTCAAGACACCTTAGTCCATTGCTACTCAAAGAGTGGTCCAGGAACTAACAACATCAACATCACACAGGAGCTTGTTAGAAAGGAAGAATCTCAACCCCACACCTGATCTCCCAAATCAGAAGCTGCATTTTAACAAGATCATCAGATGACACATAGCCACATCAAAATTTGAGAAGCACAGTCTTAGACCACCCATCCACTTGCCAAATCTGTTCTGGGTTTCTGATGCAGCAAAGGAAAGGACAAGACAACAAATCTGCAAGAAAACTTTTTAAAGTATTTGAGAGAATAATTCATAAGTGAGCAAAAAGAGAAACACACCCATAATAAGGGAATTAGTGAAAGTACGCCTTGACCTTCTTATTCCAAAATTTCCTAGGATGGGACTTTTGAATTTTCACTTAAAGTTTTCAGCATCTGTGTTTGAAAGCTTCATTCCTCTATCACTAGAAAGCACTGTGATATCTGCACACCACTTGTACTAATTTACTTCACTCGAGGCACAAGAAATAAGGCAGTGTCTCTTTCCAGAAGAGAAGTTCTAACCAAAACAATAACTAGGATCTGTCAGAGGTAAATGGCTAAAGGTATTGAAATCTGGGTGATCAGAAATCTCTTCCAAAAAAAGGTGAGCTAAAGAACTCCTGTTTCCCTCAGAAGCCCCTTGTCAGAAACAAACTCTATCCACACTCCATCTTCTTCAATAGCATTGCATTCCCTTTGATTCCAATTCAGGGAAACAGGAGAACAGCCAGCTGAGTTTCTCCAGGTGCTGCACTTACCCAGTGCTGTTAAAGTAGCTTTGACCAAGGCTGCAGTCCTTTGATGGGGATGCTGGATTGTACCAGAAAGCTGGGACACACTGGCTCTCCCCATGTCTCTCATAGCCATAGTCACTGTCAGGAAAATAAATATTGCATAATGCTATACAGGTAAAAATGCCTAATTACCCACAGACATACACAAACATACACATGTTCCTTTTGTCACCCAAAAAGTCACTACCCATTGCTTCAAATATCCCCAGTGAGGGCAAATACTTTGAAAACAGATGTTTAGACTTAGAAATAATCCTATGTCATTTGCAGTCTAGTCTATAGAAAAAATAGTGAATTATGAAATGGAAACTCTAGGTTTAAAAAAGTATGGATATAAATAATGTGGCAGGTACACTGGCTTGGAGGTGGGTGTGGGGGATGCTATAAGTTTAAAAGTATATTTTGAGTCACAGTAGAATTACTGAAATAAGTACATGACAACCAAGAGAATGAATTTAAAGGTCAAGAGGCATCTCTGTGTAATAATTCAATATGTGTTTCTCCAAAATCGACTTAATAGATTTTACTTTCATTTTTCCGCAAACTCACCCTTTCTCAAACACATATATGCACGTGCATTCATATTTACACATACAGCCATTCAAATTTTTTCTGACTACATAAAACACAGACTCCTATTTCTCTAAAAATAGAATGAAACTAAACTTTAGCTCTTTTAAGTTTTTGTAAAATTGTAGACATAATAAATTGAAGAAGGAAAGATAGGTATGGTTCCTTTCCCCTTTTCTCCCTATGGCAATATGAGGAAGAAACAGATCAGTGTATGGGAGAAAGGTTCCTATCTGAAGTCCAAATGCTGTTTCCTTAAATCTTAGAGTTTCATAAGACTCCCAGGTGTGTAAATGTCAAAGCAGAAGAGGAGCAATAAAGTAGGTAAAAGAGATTATTGCTCCTGTAACCAACCAGAGGTCACTGAGGGTGGCTTCACTTGGCAGAAGAACTCATGCTTCCAAGTTAAGCATCAAGTGTTTGCTGAGAACCACAGACTGGGCAGCAAAGTCTGGCCATTTGAATACTGATCCACTGAGTGTTCATGAAACATAAAACAGTAAAGGAAGCTGCTCTCTCAACCCCCACCCCTCCTTTCTTTTTCTGCTCCCATATTCTCTGAGCCAGATTTTGTGAAAGTCTAATGAAAACAGAGGCAAATTATCTGAGTAAATGGAATAGGAATGGAAAGAAGATAGGACTAAAAATTCCATTCCACACTTATTTATCACTTAATACGAGCCCTGCCCTCTAAAAGAAGTGTGACTCTCTCTGTACTCAAGGCGTTTTCAGATTTGGGGTGAGAAAGACAACACATCCCAAACTCAATCAAAGAATAGAACATGGTACGAAGCCAAGCACTAAACAGTACAATTAAGAAGTACCAACTGATTAGTGAGATCATCTGTTTGTACATTATCTGCCCAGTTTGGTCCCACCCCACATTCTCGCCCGTGTTCCTCCACCAAACCCATGAATGAGCACTCCTAAGCCAACCCTTCCAATCCTCTTTATCTTTTATTTGTTATGCCCTGGTCTTGAAGCACTCTACCCTTCTGGTGTTTGGTAGTTTCCTACTTATTAGTCTTTAATATCGAGGTCAAATGAGGCCATCCCTGATTCCCCAGACAAAATCTTTGGGGCCATAACATGTTGGAAACCATAAATAGAGGCTACAAAAGAGCAGGGATCTTTTTTTTTTTCCACTATAAGAGTCTAGAACAATATGTAAGATATTGCAGGTGTTGAATAAATATTTATTGAGTGAATGAATATTCCAATTGCATTAAAAAGCAATAGCACTAATTATCCCATTGTATTGCATCTATCTCTGCAGGAAGACTGAGAGCCCATAATTGATGCTCCAGTGTGGACCACAGAGAGTATCCCTTAGTGCTGAACAGATACATGTGAAGAGCAGAGCTAGAGTCATGGATCACTACATGGAGAGGGGGAACTCAAGACCAGCTTTGATATGGCCATGTTTAAATGAAACTGGAAGAAAGGAAGGAAAAAGAGACAGTTTTGCAAAGTAAATTTTTTGCCAAGCCTTCTGATCAACTATTGGAGATCTCCCAGCCTGACAGTTCATAGGGACTTGGTGTTGTACTAGCTTGTAATAGCCCATTAGAGCTGTTTCTTAAAATTTTAGAAATTTTGCAAGCTAATTGATGGTTGTTAAACAAAGCTTTTACTAAAGATTAAATTTATGAAATTTAAATTACATAAATTATATTTAAAATGTAATAAATACTCCGAACATGTAAATTCCTAGTTACTGCATTTTATTATATATTATATATAAATATTATTATATTATCTATGCTCTTGAGGTTATTTACATTCATGTAATTGTATGGTGGGAATATTGTATAATCTCATGCATTACCTACCTCTTTTCAATTCTGTATTCACTGATGGCATGTTGGTAGCATAAAATATTTCACAGTGGGAATATGTACAACAATCAGCAAATAGTACTAATAAGGTCTTATTTAGTTATTTGTTCCCAGAGGGCCAGTAATTAAATATTTACCAGCACGCCCCTAAATATCTCATTTTTAAGCATTATTTATCTGTAGAAATATTGGGCTATGATGTGTCTGCATTACTTCTAGAAAATCCCACTATTGCCTTATGAGGTAAATCTGTTGAATGTCCTACTAACTCTAGGATATATTGGTAATCTGTGAAGGAAGGTTGTTCTCTTTAGCAGCTTTAGGAAGGAGAGAAATGTTTTAATGCTCTTGCTAACTGGAATCATCTTTAGCAGTTCTGCTCAGCTCTGTTACCCGTTAGCAATGCAGTAATTTTAAAAAGGTGCATGAGGCATGCTGCTTTGCCCCGAAGAGTAGAAACACCTCATTAATATTTAACAACATTAGCAGAAACTGGCTGCCTCCAAGCTGTGGACTTCTTCATTAATTTTCGCTAAATGTATATTAAAATCTTTCATACTGCCCAGCCTCCCTCCCAGCTCCAAAGTCTGCATGATTTAGACAAACAAGCAGCTCCAGCTGCTGTTCCAGCATCCTGGGGAAAGGTGTTTTTCTTTTGAATTGTGAAGTTTGCACAGAATACACCAGAAAGCTTGATTTGCCTCAGGAAATATTCTGCCACGGATTCCACAAACACACAAGCAGTTTCCTTCAAGGAATAAGTCACCTCTGTATCTTTCTTGACTATGAAAGCTTTAGAATTTCTAAAAGTTTGGGGGAAAACCTGTTCATTACCAGGAATTCATCTGTCTTCCAACTCCCATTCAGGGAAAAGCATTTGATTCTAAAGGAGGAATAGCCAGGACAGTTCAAAAATCAAAAAGCCTCTGCATGTCAGAGTAGGAAGGGGTACTTGTATTCCTTGGGTCTATAGCTGGTAGAGTAGAAAGGAAAAGCAAAGAGAAATAACTTGCTAGATTATACACAGCTGAGAGCAGCAGACAAAGATGATAACTGAGACTCCTGATCCCTGTTCAGTATTAGCACAATCCAATGGAGTACCAAGTTAATCATCAGAGAGGGCCTCCAGGTCCCCAGGAATGACATTCTGAGACTCTTGGAGCCAACCAAGCAGTCATGGTCTCTTCTGGACAAGCTGCAGGGCTCTGTCCTTCTATCTGGCAGCTGAGATTCCAGGACTAGTGTTCTACAGGTGCCTCTGCCCCACTGTAGGAAGCAGAACAGCGTGGTGAGTTTGGGATCAGGCAGCACAGAGTGAGAACTCAGCAAACAGAAGCAGCCACAACAGCAGCAACAACAGTGATTAATAATTAACCCCACCATCATTTAGTTAAGGCATAAGTCTAAATACAGTCATAGAGAAAGATGGACAGTTTCAGAAATTGTTTGGAAAACCCAACAGTCATCCCTCAGGTATTGCTCTATCCATCTGCCTTATCTTTCTACTCACCAACAACCTTCTCACGTATCTGTTCTCTTTATGTCAGTCCCTTGTCTGTTTCTATGAAATACTGCCTGTTTTCCTCGACTTACTAAGCAGCAGAAGTTCCATCACCATTCCTACAGGAAGCCTTCCATGATTGCTACAGCCCTCAGTGATCTCCTTGTTCTGACCATTTCTAGCATATACAGTCAGAACCAATAACGTACAATAGAACTTGCTACAACCATGAAAATATATGTCAGTCCCTTGTCTGTTTCTATGAAATACTGCCTGTTTTCCTCGACTTACTCAGCAGCAGAAGTTCCATTACCATTCCTACAGGAAGCCTTCCATGATTGCTACAGCCCTCAGTGATCTCCTTGTTCTGACCGTTTCTAGCATATACAGTCAGAACCAATAACGTACAATAGAACTTGCTACAACCATGAAAATATTTTCTATCTATACAGTCCGATATATTGGCCACTAATTAGTGCAACTAAGGAACTGCATTTTTTACTTTATTTCATTTTATATAACCACATGTGACTAGTGGCTACTATAATGGACAGCATAGTTCTTAACCATAAAATTCAGCACTTAATTATATTCTTTATTATTTTCTGTTATGCCTTCTGTTGGTGCAATAACTCTTATTTATACATTGTTTGTCTTGTTTATACTTTGACTTGTCTACTATAGAAAAAAAAAAGCTTGCTTGTGCTCCATATGCAGAATACTAAAGGTTGAATGGATTTTAGACACACCTGGATTCATGTGCTATTGCACCCCTAAATCTCTTCCCTTCTGTCTTCTACATCACTACTTAATAAACTTGCTCTGTGGATCTGGCACAGTACCAGACATGAACGGTAACCACTAAGACATACTAAGACTCAGAACTCTGGAGTCAGAATATTCTTTTCTCAAGTGAATTTCTTAACCTCTCTTTCTCCATTTCTTCATCTATGAAATGATAATAGTAACAGACTCTGAGTATTTGAAATTGTCTTCTTGTTTTTAAGTCAACTTCAATAAGCATAGCTGTTGGTTAAAAATTCCAGAAATTGGTTGCAATGATTATACAAAATAATTATCTAAAAGACTTGGTACATCACCTGGTACATGGTGGTGTTCAGTGAAATCTATTGTTGAGTGAGCGGTTGGGTGAATGAAATAAGAAAAAA